AATTTTAAAGATAACGTTTTTTAAAATGGATGTTTTGAAATACTTCCATTGTTATATTATTTGGGGCCTAAAATGATGTATGTGTATAAACTACAAAATAATTGATATCTATAGATTTAAACTGCTCACTATAATTTTTTTTTGAAACAGAGTCTTGCTGTCACCCAGGCTGGAGTGCAGTGGTACGAGCTTGGCTGCAACCTCCACCTCCTGGGTTCAAGTAATTCTCCTGCCTCAGCCTCCTGAGTAGCTGGGATTACAGGCACCTGCTATCACGCCTGGTTAATTTTTGTATTTTTAGTAGAGACAGGGTTTCACCATGTTGGTCAGGCTGGTCTCAAACTCCTGACCTCAGGAAGGTCGATCTGCCCACCGCAGCCTCCCAAAGTAGTGGGATTACAGGTGTGAGCCACCATGCCTGGCTGAATTTTCTAACTAGTTTTTAAAGATACCAACTAAAGAGTAACTGGAAATTATAAATCTAGTTTTTAATCTAAAAATACAGCACTTTTCAATGAATCCACAAGAACTGACATCAGAAAAGATGGAAATTTATTAACTAAATTTCAAAATGAATTAGAATATAATTCACCAATCAGACTGAGAGATGAGTATTATGATTTTGTAAGCTCAGCTCACATCTTCTAAACATATATCCTTTTCAATTATGATAATCATTAAAATCAAGTACCAAAACATACAGAACTTAGAATCAGACCTCTGAATTTCCATATCACTAGTTGTTAAAGTAAAATTTTAATAAATAAAATATAGAATATTATTCAATTATATTGCTTTCACCAAAAGTAAATTACTATATAAACAGTTTTCTACACTTTTGTAAGTAACATGAAAATATTTAAAATGTATTTCTCACTTCATTTTTATTTTTCTATTTTTACTTATGTTTAGAATGTACATAATAGATTAGTAATTTAGTAAATTCATTTACAATTTTAAAATAAAGATGCATGACTGAATTTACTACTTTACTTCTTGATGCCTAAAGTAGTAATCTCTAAACTTCAGAGATTACTACATTAGACATTAAGAAACATTAGAAAGTTTTAAATGCAAAGAAGTAAAATAAACCAGATTTGAATTTTAGAAACATAATTCTGAGGAATGGGCAAGGATAACATGTTTTAAGGTTAAAGTAATTTTTTTTTTTTTGAGACTGAGTCTTGTTCTATCGCCTAGGCTGGAGTACAGTGGCATGATCTCAGCTCACTGCAACCTCTGCCTCCTGGATTCAAGCAATTCCCCTGTCTCAGCCTCCTAAGCAGCTGGGATTACAGGTGTCTGCCACCAAGCCCAGCTAATTTTTTTTTTTTGAGACGGAGTTTCGTTCTTGTTACCTAGGCTGGAGTGCAATGGCGCGATCTCGGCTCACCGCAACCTCCGCCTCCTGGGTTCAGGCAATTCTCCTACCTCAGCCTCCTGAGTAGCTGGGATTACAGGCACGCGCCACCATGCCCAGTTAATTTTTTTTGTATTTTTAGTAGAGACATAGTTTCACCATGTTGACCAGGCTGATCTCGAACTCCTGACCTCAAGTGATCCACCCGCCTCGGCCCCCAAAGTGCTCAGATTACAGGTGTGAGCCACTGTGCTGGCCAAAATTTTTTTTTTGAGACTGAGTCTCACTCTGTCACCAGGCTGGAATGCAGTGGCACGATCTTGGCTCATTGCAGCCTTTGCCTCTTGGGTTCAAGCAATTCTCCTGCCTCGGCCTCCCAAGTAGCTGAAACTACAGGTGCGATCCATCATGCCCAGCTAATTTTTGTATTTTTAGTAGAGGCAGGGATTCACCATGTTAGCCAGGATGGTCTCGATCTCTTGACCTTGTGATCTGCCTGCCTCGGCCTCCCAAAGTGCTGGAATTACAGGCATGAGCCACCATGCCCAGCTCAAAAGTAATTTTTTAAAAAATCCTTGTTACTTCATTAATAGCAAAGAGCACCCTATAAGCTCCTTCTGTCTTTGGATCCTTTCACAAGGCACGCAGGGGTGTGTGAATGTGTGTGTGTTTGTATTTAAGTTATATTTTAATAGACACTTTCTGCAGAGAAAGGTTTCCTTTCTTTTCTTTCCTTTTCTTTTCTTTTACCCCCTTAGACAGATTCTTGCTCTACTGCCCAGGCTGGAGTGCAGTGGCAATGATCATAGCTCACTGCAACCTCAAACACCTAGGCTCAAACAATCCTCCCGCCTCAGCCTCCCAAGTAGGCACACGCCACTGTGCCTGGTGAATAGTTTGATTTTTCTATTTTGTGTAGAGTCAGGGTCTCATTAAGGACCTCTTATTCCACGGTCTAAACCAGAAAGCAATAAAGTTCAAAGAAATGGTGATGTAGAGCCATGAGAGGGAACTTACAGCAATATTGGGCCCCATAACTACTAATGTGCTTATTATCTACCTGCAGGCTAAGAGGCTAGAAAAAAATGAAATACTTCGATTTTGTGAGAAAAGTTATACAAGTGACTTTAAAAAAAATTTGGACCCAGTACAGCGGTTCATGCCTGTAATCCTAGCACTTTGGGAGGCCAAGGTAGGAAGATCTCTTGGGGCCAGGAGTCAAAACCAGCCTGCTCAACAGAGCAAGACCCCATCTCTACAAAAGTAAAATAAAAGAATTAGCCAGGCGTGGTGGCACACGCTCATCATCAGAGCACTTCGGGAAGCTGAGGCAGAGGATAGCTTCAGTCCAAGAATTCAAGACTATAGTGAACGATGATTGCACCATTGCACTCCCACCTGGGCAACAGAGTAAGACTCTGTCTTCAAAGTAATCATTTGAATAGTATGGCAGTATGCAAAATGAAAAGTCAAAGTTCACTTCCCTATTACCTACCACTCCACTGAATCCACTCTCCATGATAGTCACTGTTAACAGTTTATTTCCTTCCAGGCCTTTGTCTATGCATATATACGTTTATGTGTGTAGGTATCCACATATATGTATATATGCACATTTATGTAGTTTTTGTATTACTTTACAAAACATAGGCTCATATTCATACTGTTCTGAACTTGCTTCTTTTACTTCGTAACACATTATAGCCATTCTTCTAGGAAGGTCAACATGGATACAGCTCCTTTTTGCAGAGCTGCAAGCAATGCTATCATATTGATATAACACAGGTTACTAAACCACTCCTTTATTGATGGACATTAGCAGTGTCATTAATGTTTAACTTTTATGACAAGACAGCAATGAAGATTCTTGTACATGTATTTCTGTATACTCCTTCGAGCAGAGTTTGGGGTGCAGGAGTAGGTGCATTTAAAATTTTGATAGACACTGCAGCATGGCTATACTAATTATACTTCAGACAATAAGGGTCAGCAATTCATTGTAGCATTCTTTTCCCATTACATCACTTGACAGATTCGTAGATTCAGGAAATGACCTCAGAAAACAAACTCTTCAATTTGTATAAGAGAAAACAAAGGTTCAGAGAGGTTAACATTATGGGCCCAAGACCTCAGAGCCCCTGAAGAAACAACACATGTGCTAACAGGGGTTCAGTGACAGAGAGGTTACTATTAAAATCCTGGAATGCAATATGGGTTAACTGACTTCAAATGTAATGTGCGTTCTATAAGAGATATTAACAAGTAGGAAAGAGGACTAAGGATGATCTCCTTTTCCTTGCCTAACCTCAGTGAGAAAAGAAAAAGGCAGTAAATTACTAAAAGATACAACAGTATGAGGGTGCAGAGAGGGAGTATTCACAAACTAGTTGGGTAACAGGCACCCAGAGCTGAAGGTGTCATAAGTTCAGATGCATGAAGCGAGAAAGTGTGGTGGAAACAACTCTGACATGGGATGACCTTAGCAAAAACCTTCCATAGCCTCAGCGGGTTGTATGAAAAGTTTCTTGGTTCTAACTATCTCCATGTGGCATCCAAAATGAATGCCAGTACTGAAACCAAATTCTGAAGAGAAATATCAGAAAAGAACTAACATCCCACAATGAAGAAACATCTTCAAAGAAGATGTTGTTATAAAAATACCACAAAAGTACTTTCCAACAAATTCCAGACCTAAAAGTAAGGCTTTAAAATGAGGCTCCAAGTACAGAAGTCTTGAATCCTTTGCTGCGTGCCTGAAGAGGCCCGTTTAGAAGGCACTTCTAACTAGATAAGTCTTTACTTGACCAGACCGATGGGTATAGCAGTGAGAAGATGGGCACTGTACCTTTTGAAATTAGATGGTCTAGAACAGGGGTCAGCAAACATTTTCTGTAAAAGGGTGACAGTAACTATTTTTGGCTTTGCTGGCCATATGGTCTTGGTTGCAACTAATCAACTGGGCTACTGTGCAAAAAACCAGCCATAAGCAGCATAGAAAATAAAGAAGCATGGCCATGTTCCAATGCAACTTTTTGATTGCTGAAATCTGAATTTCATATAATTTTCTTTTTTTTCTTTTTTCTTTTTTGAGACGGAGTTTCGCTCTTGTTACCCAGGCTGGAGTGCAATGGCGCGATCTTGGCTCACCGCAACCTCCGCCTCCTGGGTTCAGGCAATTCGCCTGCCTCAGCCTCCCGAGTAGCTGGGATTACAGGCACGCACCACCATGCCCAGCTAATTTTTTGTATTTTTAGTAGAGACGGGGTTTCACCATGTTGACCAGGATGGTCTCAATCTCTTGACCTCGTGATCCACCTGCCTCAGCCTCCCAAAGTGCTGGGATTACAGGCTTGAGCCACTGCACCCGGCCCATAATTTTCATAAAATATTATTCTTGTTTTAATTTTTTCCAACCATTTAAAAATGTAAAAACCATTCTTAGTTCATGGGTTGTACATAAACCGGTAGTGGGCTAGGTTGAGCCTGTGCACCGTCATTTGCCAACTGTGGTACAAAAGCACTATTCCCAACTGAATTGAACTTGAATGTTCATGGAAAGATGAAAACATCTAAGCCTAGCTCCTAGGAAAGTTAAGGCAGAAAGGGTGAAATATGTTCTTCAAGGGTTTCAGGTGCTTACCTTAAATCCCTTCTCTTGCTGAACTCCTCTGGTGGAATTGTCCATGGCAGACCTTGAGGAAGACATTCTAGAACTTCTGAAGAGAAATCAGAGAAATCCACACCATACTCTGTTAATATTCCTTCTGTTTCAGGCTCAATTTCACCAGCCTGCCCAAGACTCTTAGCCAGCTGCCTGTAGATATAACAGAAAGGGAACAACTGGGTTAGCAAACAAATGGAACATAGACACCTGCCTCCTCTCTAAAAGTAAGATAGTAGGAAAAGTTAGAAATCTCCTGCCCTTCCACCAGTAGAAACATGATCATCTGCAAATGAGGGGCAAGGGGAAAGGAGAAGAAACAGTAATGTTCTGTCCTGTTAAATCTGTAACTACATAACTACAGTGTAATTTCAGCTGGTTTTTTTTTTTTTTTTTTTAGTTTGGCATTCTGACCTGAAAAATGAAGCCAGAAGGCTTTTCTTAGAACCCCTGCAATTTTTTTTTCACAGAGAAGTCAAAATTGATATTATGACCAACCCAGTGTGCTGTTACATCATTAGCTCCGGAGCGCCTATACCTGAAGTCATGCTCACTAGATTAGTCCTGATGTTCCTATTTTACAACTCTACCAGCTTTTATCTTTAAAATTTTTTAATATTTTATCTGAACACAGAAGTAATACATGTTCATTGCAGAGCAGTTAGAAAACACAAAATCCTCCCTGTTTAATAAACTGTGTTGGGAAAACTGGACCCCTTCCTGACACCTTACACTAAAATTACCTCCAGATGGATTAAAGACTTAAACATAAGACGTAACACCATAAAAACCCTAGAAGAAAACCTAGGCAAAACCATTCAGGACATAGGCATAGGCAAGGACACCAAAAGCATTGGCAACAAAAGCCAAAATAGACAAAATGAGACCTAATTAAACTCCAGAGCTTCTGCAGAGCAAAAGAAACCATCATTAGAGTGAATCAGCAACCAACAGAATGGGAAAAGATTTTTGCAACCTACCCATCTGACAAAGGGCTAATATCCAGAATCTACAAAGAACTAAAACAGATTTACAAGAAAAAAACAAACAAACCCATCCAAAAGTGGGAGAAGGATATGAACAGACACTTCAAAAGAAGACATATACAAGGCCAACAAACATATGAAAAAATGCTTACCATCACTGATTATTAAAGAAATGCAAATCAAAACTACATTGAGATACCACCTCACAGCAGTTAGAATGGCGATCATTAAAAAATCTGGAGACAACAGATGCTGGAGAGGATGTGGAGAAATAGGAACACTTTTACACTGTTGGTGAGAGTGTAAACTAGTTCAACCATTGTGGAAGACAGTGTGGCGCTTCCTCAAGGACCTAGAAATAGAAATTCCATTTGACCCAGCAATCCCATTACTGGGTAAATATCCAAAGGATTATAAATCATTTTATTATAAAGACACATGCACACGTATGTTCATAGTGGCACTGTTTACAATAGCAAAGACCTGGAACCAACCCAAATGCCCATCAATTAAAGACTGGATAAGAAAACTATGGCACATATACACCATGGAATACTACGCAGCCATAAAAAAATGAGGAGTTCGTGTGCTTTGTAGGGACATGAATGAATCTGGAAACCATCATTCTCAGAAAACTGACACAAGAACAGAAAATTAAACACTGAATGTTCTCACGTTCTCACTCACAGGCGAGTGTTGAACAATGAGAACACATGGACACAGGGAGGGGAGCATCACACACTGGGGTCTGCTTGGGGGGGGCCAAGAGAGGGACAGTGCAGGGGTGGGGAGGTTGGGGAGGGATAACAGATGTATCTGGGAGAAATGCCAGATGTAGGTGACAGGGGGATGGAGGCAGCAAACCACATTGCCATGTGTGTACCTATGCAACAATCCTGCATGATCTGCACATGTACCCCAGAACCTAAAGTACAATTAAAACACACACACACACACACACACACACACACACACACACACAAATCCACTGAGAAGAAAATTGAAATTACCTGTAAACCTATCGCCCATTCACATTTTAGAACACTGGCCCATTAAAAATAAAATTGCATTTAACAGGACAGTGCTGATATTATGAACAGGGTTCCACCTTTCAGAAGGCAGATCTCACTCCTTGCAAATTGACAGCTCTCTATCATCATAAGTATTATCATGCCACATACAGACCACAAGTCTAAAGTTGTGCCTTGAATACAGGCAGCTAATAGGAAATGTGTTATGGGCCTTGGCTGCCTTTGTAGAGGGAACTGCGGAGACCAAAAATGGCCACCTCCTCTGTTGTACAAGTCTATTTATCTACCGGGGTAATCCAAGAGTCCACTCTCAGCACTTCCTGCAAGAAATTTAGCTCTGGCATCAGGACATTCTCTGGGGCCATTCGATTTCTATGAAAAAGGTTCTTTTTCCTAAATAGGGGTAAATGATGCTTCACTGCTGGAGTTCTTAGGTACACAGTGGAAAAGAGGAACAGGGAAGGTGGTTGCCTCATAAGCCGACTTCTAACAAATTCCAATTCTCAGCCTTGCTACTGGAATGCAGCAGTGATGGCAGCAGGGCTGGCCCCATTTCTCACACCAGTCAAGAGAGACCAGCCCAGTCTACTCGTGCACCTGCCCACCAGCCTATGCTCTTGGCAACCTGCAGACTGACCTGTGGGCTCCTCCCATATAATGTGGGCTCAGAAGAGTACTTTCTCCACAACGGGTGGTCTCTCCCATAAAACACATAAAAAAGTCAGACAGCAAAAATATGAAAGAAAAATTAACAGAAAGCTATCTGGAAAATCTCCCAAATATGTGGAAATCCAACAACCCATGGGTTTAAGAAGAAATGAAAAAAGAATTAGAAAATATTTTGAACTGGGGTCAGGCATGGTGGCTCACACCTGTAATCTCACCACTTTGGGAGGCCCAGGTGGGCGGATCACTTGAGGCTAGGAGTTCGGGACCAGCCCGGCCAACATGGTGAAACCTCATCTCTACTAAAAATACAAAGCATTAGCTGGGTGTGGTGGCTTAAACCCAGGAAATGGAGGATGCAGCAAGCTGTACTGCAGGCTGGGCGACAGAGCGAGAGGCTATCGCAAAAAAGAAAGAAAAGGAAGGGAGGGAGGGAAAGAGGGAAGCAGTGAAGGAGGGAGAGAGGGAATTTTGAACTGAATGAAAGCATAACATGTCAACATTTGTGAGAAGTAGCTAAAATAGTGCTTGGAGGGTAATTTATAGCATTAAATGCTCATATCAGAAAGGAAGAAAAGTGTCAAATCAGTGATCTAAGCTTCTACCTTAAAAAACTGAAGAGCAAATTAGATTCCAGGGAAGGAGAAGGAAATAAACAATGAAGAAACAAGAATCAATGGATAGGAAATGAACAAATAATGAAAACAAATCAATAAAACCAAAAACGAACTCTATTTTTTAAACAGGGTCTCATTCTGTTACCTAGGCAGAAGTGCAGTGGCACAATCATGGCTCACCACAGCCTCAACTTCCCAGGCTCAAAGGATACCCCCACCTCAGCCTCCTGAGTAGCTGGGGTCCATCTAATTTTTGTATTTTTTGTAGAGATGGGGTTTTGTCATATTGCCCAGGCTGGTCTTGAACTCCTGAGCTCAAGCAATCTGACCACCTCAGCCTCCCAAAATGCTGGGGTTACAGGTGTGAGCCACCATACCTGGCTCAAAAGCTAATTCTTTGAAAAGAGAAAAACAGATAAAATTCTAGCCTGAATGATCAAGAAAAAAGAGGCGAGAAAGACACAAATTACCAATATCAAGAATGAGGGAGGAGATACCATTATATACCCCACAAACATTAAAAGAATAATAAGGGAATTATGAATGACTTTTAAGACAGTAAATTCAGTATCTTGGATGAAATGAACAAATTCCTTGAAAGATGCAAACTGCCTAGGATAATTAAAAAAGAAATAGATACTTGAATATTCCTATTTAATATATCTATTATTTATTATATCTAATGTATCTATTTAAAAAATTGAACTCACAGCTTGAAACCTTCCCACATAGAAAACTCCAAACCCAGATGGCTTCACTGGTGAATTCTACCAAACATTTAAGAAAGAATTATTGCCAATTCTACATAAACTCTTCTAAAATATAGAGATGGATGGAATACTTTCCAATTAGTTTCATAAAGACAGCATTACCTTGGTAACAAAACCAAAGGATTAATGAGATCAATACCTCTTATAAACAGACTTAAAATTCTTACAAAGATATCAAAGGTATTGAAAAAGAAAAAAATTTTAAAATTCTTACAAAGTTATTGGCAAACAGAATTCAGCAATATATAAAAAAGATACAGCATGACCAAATAATGCAAGATTTGTCCAACATTCAAACATCAATCAATATGTCATATTAGCAGACAAAAAACAAACACATATAATCATCTCAGTAAATTAAGAAAAAGCATTTGATAAAATTTCAACATTCACTTATAACAAAAGGTCTCAGCACATGAGTAACAGGAACTGTAAAACTTAATGGTGAAAAACAAAATGCCTTCCCTTGGAGCAGAAAGAAGACAAAGGTGCTCATTTTCACCAATACTATTTAACATTGTACCGGAGGTACTAGTGAATGCCATAAAGCAAGAAAAAGAAGTCAGACATACAAATTGGAAAGGAGGAATTGCACATTGCCTGTAAGCAGGACAAAGGACTACAATTCCCATCACAGAAGTGACCAGCTTCCTACTACATAATGCCTGGCCTCTCTTTATACAAGACCCCTCGCACTCTGTGAGAACCAAAAGCCCAGTACACCGTATGTGACTTAAACTCTGCCTCAACTCAAGACTTTGAATGTGAAGACTGAGAAACAAAGACAAAAGTCTGCTTAGGATTCACTCACGACAGCTAGAATGGTTTCTCATGATAGGGGAGGCGGTAGCATCCAGTGAAAATGGTGTCCCGCAAGAGCAGTGGTAAGAGAATTACTGGCATTACAGCTAAACTAATCCTGATAAAAGATGATGGTTGGGCTTCTGTTCTTGGCTTTCCAGAGTTGCCTTAGTTTACATCCCTTTTCAGGTCATTCGAGTCTTTTGCTCAGAGAGCTCTTCAATACCCTCCCAAAAAATTCCTTTCCCTACTAGAGTTGAAGATTAGAAGAGTTTATGTAGA